AAGAAGTGGTAGATATGCTGGAGGGCAGGGAAAGGATACAGAGGGACCTAGACAAATTGGAGGATTGGGCCAAAAGAAATCTGATGAGGTTCAATAAGGATAAGTGCAGCATCCTGCACTTAGGACGGAGGAACCCAATGCACCGCTACAGACTAGGGACCAAATGGCTAGGCAGCAGTTCTCCGGAAAAGGACCTAGGGGTGACAGTGGACGAGAACCTGGATATGAGTCAACAGTGTGCCCTTGTTACCAAGAAGGCCAATGGCATTTTGGGATGTATAAGTAGGGGCATAGCAAGCAGATCGAGGGACGTGATCGTCCCCCTCTATTCGGCATTGGTGAGGCCTCATCTGGAGTACTGTGTCCAGTTTTGGGCCCCACACTACAAGAAGGATGTGGATAAATTGGAGAGAGTCCAGCGAAGGGCAACAAAAATGATTAGGGGTCTGGAACACATGACTTATGAGGAGAGGCTGAGGGAACTGGGATTGTTTAGTCTGCAGAAGAGAAGAATGAGGGGGGATTTGATAGCTGCTTTCAACTACCTGAGAGGTGGTTCCAGACTATTCTCAGTGGTAGAAGAGGACAGGACAAGGAGTAATGGTCTCAAGTTGCAGTGGGGGAGGTTTAGGTTGGATATTAGGAAAAACTTTTTCACCAGGAGGGTGGTGAAACACTGGAATGCGTTACCTAGGGAGGTGGTAGGATCTCCTTCCTTAGAAGTTTTTAAGGTCAGGCTTGACAAAGCCCTGGCTGGGATGATTTAATTGGGGATTGGTCCTGCTTTGAGCAGGGGGTTGGACTAGATGACCTCCTGAGGTCCCTTCCAACCCTGATATTCTATGATTCTATGAAAATTCTCATTTGTAGGGCAGTCTACTTGATATATGGGACCTTAGAAGATTTGTGGAGAAACAGGCAAATCCTTAAGAATGGGGAGAAATGGGAAAAGCCCATGGCTTAAAAAAAAAAGTGGAAGTCACTCAGTAATGTATCTAAAACTAAATTCTTACATAGAAATGACCATGTAAGACAGCCTTCCACTTCCATTTAAAAACTGATACTGGGTATTTCAACTCACTAACAAAGTAACAAAGACTAGTAGCATTTATTAAAAGCCCTTGCACAAAAATGCAGTAGTGGTGCAATTTTCAGGACCATTAACTATTTAGCCTCAGCTGCTATCAGTTTCCCCGCAGGGACATTCTGGTATTTCTCTTACTGGTGGTCAGGACTTGATGACTAAGGTGTCACGCTGTCACATTTATTCATTGGGGTTTGTTTATATAGGAACAGGGCATTTGATTTGGGTCCTGACCATAAGAATCAGGATTCCCATTCAGCAAGATATATTGTACATTAAAGCCAATTTGTGCTCTTTTAGAAGTTTCACTCCTGTCTGTTTCATTAACCACATGCAGGGTAATAACTTGTTTCTCTGTGTTTCTAAAACTAAATTAGCCCTTTATTACAAGAACTATTTGCAGAGATGCTGTAACTGCAGCCAGCATTCCAACTATGTGCACACAGGCTGGTCTCCTGGTGTCTCCTGCCCTCCTCCCAACTCTTTCCTCTGCACTCTGATCTCCTCCATCCATGCAGGTTGCTACAGTATCAGTGGGAAATGTAGCTTGCTATCTGCAAGACTCAAGAACTGCATAAGTTACCTGCTTTGCTGCCCTGTTTTTTTTAAGATCTGTGGCACTGTTAAACCTCAGGTAGGAGAAGGCTTCTAGGTCTGTCTACCCACTCAACCCAAATGTTTTCATTTTCAATTTCTATCTGTAATTCTCTGTTTACAAAATTGTTATTGTGTTGCACTTCCTCTCTGGCTTTCAAATTAAAAATGGTATTCTTATGTTGTTGGCAACACTAATAACTGGTTTGGCTGGCAAATGGATATTATAGTGAATTCTAAAGATTTTTTTTTTAAACTGAGACTTCTAAAGCCTATTTAGAATAAATGTACCAGGTTTTGGAAACCTTATACAGGCCTATTCCTTGAACAGTGTTCTTTAGGATGTGCCATTAGAAATTTCAAATTGTCAGTGTTCCAGGGTCAAGTCCATCCTTCATTTTTGTGATGCAGAATGAAGGATAGATGGATTTGACTGGGCAGTACTGACAATATGAAATTGCTAGCAGTTATTTCTAAAGTGTAGTTTAGGATCTGTACATCTTCCCACTGGGGCCATGATGTTACAACCAGATAAAATATGAGACATTCCTGGCCCATAAGACTTTTCTTTCCTCTTCAAACCTACGATGCAAGTTGGGATCTCATTTGCCAGGAAGCAGGGGCTAGTAGCTCTGAGGAGGATGATCTCCAGCAACTTTTGGGTTGTGCTTACAATTATACCACCTAGCCTGGAGAACCTTGGCAGGGATATGTATGTGTTTTTTCCACACACTGCTGCTCCTTTCCCCTGAATGGATCCCCAAACTGCAGTAGGATCCTGGGGAATGGTGCTGTGGGAGCAGCTGAACTTGTTCCATGCAGGGAGAGGAGAGGGTAAAGGAGTAGGTGCACATATAGAAGTTCCCCTCCATGTGTGAATCTAGAGTGATGCTGGTGGCACAATGACCTGCTCCTCACATCTATTCCAAGGAAGGACAGCCTTGTTGTACAGGCACTGCACTAGGATGCAGGAGATCTACATTCTATTCCTAGCTCTAACACAAACTTCCCACGTGATCTTGGGTAAGTCAGAATCTCTGAGCGTCTATTGCTCATCTGTATCCCTGTTATTCAGGCCAGGATTGTTATAAGGGAAATGTATGTTAGTGGTTGGAAGGTGGTTAGATACTATAGAGATGAACACCATAGAAAAGCCTATCACTCATTGTCAGCTACTGCTACCTAACCCATCAGCTATCTTTAGTGTGACTAGTACAGCAAAAAACAGATTATACATTTAAGGATTAATAACAGTATGTTATAGATCCGGTTGGGCTCCCCCTGCCAGCCATGCATCAGACTGATGTGAAAGGAGATCAAAGCCTATCGATCCCTGAGTGTTTTAAGCTTCCCTAGGACTCACCAGGTTGTAGCAGTTTCCTCCTTTGGCCTCTCTGGCTTATTTCCTGGGCGCCCATTTGGTTTGTTACCCTCTTATGGAAGTAGAGCCCCTCAATACACTTGCCTAGGCATCCAGATCCAGTCCTGATCCCTCCAAAATACCCCAGTAAGCTTAAACACACCTGGCCCCAGAATCCCACCAAAGGTGTAAGCCTTGTGGGTCAAAGTTTAGCTCTCTCAAGAGGCATTTGGTAGGTGCAGCATATAACATAGAGGCACCTTACTTAGAGTTCTAACAGATTATTGCTCTTTAATCACAAGAATTACACAGATCTATATGAAAAATAAATAAATCCTACATGCATTTCCCCTTTCTCTAGCTCACCCTTTCCATGGGAGACCATCTGTGTTCAAGCAGGTAGAGTCCTCTCTCCTTGCCTTTTCTGGCTCCTGCAGAAGTTTCCCTCAACTTACACTGATGGAAGAAGGCTTAAGAGAGAGATCAAACAGAACAGCTTCTGCTTTTTATAATCTTCCAGCACCTCTATCAGATGACCTCCTGATCAGCCTCCTCAGGTGAACAGAGACCTCTACTTGGTGAGTTCATTGCCAGGCAACCTCTCCTTTGATTAACTATTTCTCCTAGGTCTAAGCAGCCCTATGACAGCAGGCAGCATTGCTAAATGGTAGAGTTTGCTGATCTGCATATTGAATGATGAGATACAGAACTCTGAAAAGAAGCCTTTTATTTTTTCCCTCTTTTAATCCTGAAAAACAAACAGGAGTTAATGAACATTAAGCATAAGGTTAAATCTAAGGCTGCATTTATCCCTGATGAAACTCACAGTGGTGTATGTCATAACCATACAGCTAAGGGTAGCCTAGAATTCCTCCTTAACTGTAAGGGGTTGAGAAGCTCAAATAACCTGTTTGGCACCTGAACAAAAGGACCAACGGGAAAAGAAAATACTTTCAAATCTGGGGGGGGGCAGGAAGGCTTTGTGAGTGCGTTCTCTTGGGAAGCAGAGAAGCATCAGGTCAGAAAACTCCTTCTCCTATAAACCATCTTAAAATGAATCTCAATATTGCAAAAAAAGTAAGTAAGTAAGGCAAGGTGCATTAGATCATCTTTTGTTTTAGCTTGTGAATTTTCCCTTTGCTAGAGGGAAGTTTATTCCTGTATTTTGTAACTTTGAAACTAAGCCTAGAGGGAGTTCTGCAGTGTTTTTGAATCTTTTGTTACCCTGTAAAGTTATCTTCCATCCTGATTTTACAGAGGTGATTTTTTACTTTTTTTCTTTATAATATTCTTCTTTTAAGAACCTGATTGATTTTTTCAGTGTCCTAAAACCCAGGGGGGTTGATCTGTGCTCACTCTGTAACCAGTTGTTTGGGATTATTCTCAAGCCTCCCCAGGAAAAGGGGTGTAAGGACTTGGGGGGGGATATTTTGGGGGAATAGGAACTCTAAGTGGTCCTTTCCCTGATTCTTTGTCTAAATCACTTGGTGGTGGCAGCATACTGTCCAAGGACAAAGGATTTGTGCCTTGAGAAGTTTTTAACCTAAGCTGGTAGAAATAAGCTTAGGGGGCTTTCATGCAGGTCCCCACATCTGTACCCCAGAGTTCAGAGTGGGGAGGGAACCCTCACAGAGTACAAACTGAAGGCCGGCACTTTCTGTGTGAATAAATTAGGATTCATATAATAATGCTCTGTTGTCTTGACTTGTATGCATGATGTAAAATGCCACTATCTAAGGAAATGGACTAAATGGACCAGTGGAAGAGTGTTTCAGGCTATGAAATGGAAGTATTTCAGGTACTATACAGCCTGGCTTCAGATACAAATTTAAGTTTCTCAGTGGAAGAGTTTTTCAAATGTACTCTTGCCTCTAAAAATCTCTGCTATCGAAGTTTAGGGGGGGGGTTAGTTGTTGGTGCCTGCTGTAACAAAAGGGAAGATTAATTTAAATAAAATAATGCTTGTTCAGCATTCAAGATAAAGAGTCAAGTTTATTTTATCTTTTGGGCCACGCTCACATGAAGAGGCAAAGATTTTTATTCAGAAATTAGCACTATCTGTTTTCCAGTGTTGCCTCCGGTCATCATGGACTGGAAAGCCCCTTAAGAGAATAAGAATAATACATATTATTAGGATAATACCAATTAAACATTTATGCATGTAGTAAATTTTTTTTAAAGCAAAACTATTAGATAAGATCCTGAGAGCCTCCCTTACTGGATTATAACAACGTAAAGAGAAATCAAATTTTGGACTTAACGTATAGATTCCCCTACAACACAGGAAGTTAAGATACCATAATGTTAGAACACAACAAGTTGCCAAAGGCAATTTAAATAAGACTTTAATAAATTAGTTTTAACATTTAAAATGCCTGATCAGACCTTTGTTTACAACAATCACGGTTCATTTTTAATTATTGTATGCACTGTTAGGATATGCCATGCAGACAACATGCAGTGCAGACACAATAGGAGGGCATATACCTGGCGAGCCTACAGCAAAGGCTTTTATTTAAAGCTTTGACCATGGGGTGAAGAGGCAGCTTCTAAAATATTTATTGCTTCAGAAATAATCATGAAAACTTTACATAAAAAGTAAAGCTGAATATTAAATATGGCTGTCCAGTTAGCCAACTCCCTTTAAAACAAATCCATGAAGTACAGTAAGCTAATGGTTCGAAATTAAACCCAACCTTTATGATTTACCTAATATTTTGTTCCCAGGAGTTTTCCTCTGACTCTGCGGGATTAAAGCATTACTTAAGTTGTGCTGTTACCTGCTGTAAGAATGCTTGTTTTCAAACCACAAGTTTTGAATGAGCTCGTTCTTTAGCTTTATAGCTTGGTATATAAAGCCCCTTTTGGTTTTTTTTTTCCTGTTTCTTATGGTTTTTAGCCACTGGCTGCAGGCTATTTTACCTCTCTTGAAGTGACATTTTGACCTTTTTTAGGCAAATAATTTTAAAACCATGTTCTAGGAGAGAGACAAACATCTGAATTGGGGGAAAAGGAAAGGAGAGAGAAAGCTGTATTGTAACTATATTTCAGCAAAGATTATGCTAGAAAATAATTCAACATCTTACCCCCAATGTTTTCCAGGCCTTTTACCACAGTCTCTTTGACCTGTTAATAAAAATAGGTCTTGTTAGTTTTCCCTCCAAAATCAGTGTCTATCTGAAAGGGGCCATGAAATTGCCATAGTACTGACCAAAGATTTTAAAGGCATCCTTTTACTCCACAGGGGAAGGTGCTCCCTTTTGGACCTTGCCCTTTGGTCACGATGAAAGTAGCACATTGTTCAAGCAGATTATTTTAAACCTGTCGGCTAATAAATCCTTTAAATGAAAGATAGAACATTACTGCACCTCTGGGTGTACATGAATGTGAAGTTCAGGGAGGATGAGCAGATCAGTTGGGGGACCACATAACATGAGTAGGCCTCAGGAGAAAAGATCTGGACAGGGGGTACTTACCCACCATAAAGTAATAGAGTGATTTTTCAAGTCTGGATTAGGACCCTCATGTCAAAAAACTAGGATCTGGCTTTCTCTGAGAATGGTAGAATCTAGGCATCAGTTATGTGTGCTTCTAAAGGACCCAGTTCTATTGCTGTAAAACTAAATTCTCAGTAGCTATATTGCCCTTTCTAAAACAGTGCTGCTATGAAAAAAAGCCTTCTCTCCTGCTGGTAATAGCTCACCTTACCTGATCACTCTCGTTACAGTGTGTATGGTAACACCCATTGTTTCATGTTCTCTGTGTATATAAAATCTCCCCACATTTTCCACTGCATGCATCCGATGAAGTGAGCTGTAGCTCACGAAAGCTTATGCTCAAATACATTTGTTAGTCTCTAAGGTGCCACAAGTACTCCTTTTCTTTTTGCACATACAGACTAACACGGCTGCTCCTCTGAAACCTTCAAGTGTGTTATCACTTCCCTCTCCAAAGTGAGGCACTGCAGTCAAAGTGATTTTGATATGGACAAAGAAATTAGTCTTCCTGAAAGAAGGCTCATGCCTATCAATAAAATATAAAGGTTCAGTTCCTACCTTCAGTTTCCCCTCTTTGATCCACTGACAGAGCTGTAGAATACTAGCTTCTTGTTTGTCCATATAGTTCAATACCAGAAACCTCTCCCTGTGAAAGAAAAGAATGGATGATGATTTAATAACTAGAGTGGCTGCTCAATATATTTCAAAAGCCTTTGAAATCTTTTCAGTTTTATGGGCAAATGTAACAGAAGATTTAGTAGCATCATCTATAGTTACATGTAGTTCAGTCAGCTGCTGGGCAAGCTTGCTCATACAATTCTGTACAATGAAAGCTTTAGATGAAACAATGTGGTCTCAGACAAATAATCCTGCCTGTATTTCAAGCAGTATTGAAAGGAGGACTAGAAGCCAAGGAGTGCTATTAGAGCAGGGGTGGGCAAACTGTGGGCCACGGGCTGTATTTGGCCCTTCAGATATTTTAATCTGGCCCCGAGCTCCCGCCGGGGAGCAAGGTCCAGGACTTGCCCCATTCCAGCACTCCAGCCAGAGAGCGGGGTGAGGGGCTTGCCCCACTCTGCGCATGCTGTCGCTCCGTGCGGCTCCTGGAAGCAGCAGCATTTCCCCCCTCCAGCTCCTACACGTAGGAGCAGCCAGGGGATTCTGTATGCTGCCCCTGCTCTTAGCACGACCCCCGCAGCTCCCATTGGCTGGGAACCAAGGCCAATGGGAGCTGCAGGGATGGCATCTGCAGATGGTGGGAGTGCGCAGAGCCACCTGGCCGTGCCTCTGCGTAGGAGCTGGAGATGGGACATGCTGCTGCTTCCAGGAGCTGCTTGAGGTAAGCACCCCCCAGAGCCTGTACCCCTGACCCACTCCCATCCTTCAAACTCCTCAGTCCCAGCCCGGAGCACCCTCCTGCACTCCCACCCCCTTATACCCACCCCCACCCCAGAGCCAGCATCTCCAGCCAAAGCCCTCACCCCCACGCCCTTGCACCCCAACTCTCTGCCCCAGCCTGGAGCCTCCTCATGCACCCTGAACTCCTCATTTCTGGCCCCACCCCAGAGTCTGCACCCCCCAGCTGGAGCCCTCACCCCCTCCCATACCCCAACCCCCAATTTCGTGAGCATTCATGGCCAACCATACAATTTCCATATCCAGACTTGGCCCTCGGGCCAAAAAGTTTGCCCACCTCTGTACTAGAGAGATCAGCTTAATATGTGACACTAAAATGCAGGTAATTTTTTTTTACACTTTTTTTTCCCCCCTCATCCCAAGTGGAAACAAAAAAGCTAGATGATGAGGTCATATTAGCTTTCTGGCCCCCACAATTTTGCATCTCTTGTCATAGCTGCTGTGGTAATCAGAAGAAACAGCAGTGATACCAGTGCTGACTGGCTGTGACACACCGACAGGATTACCTGAAGGCCCAATTCTCTACTGCCTTTAACTCTGAAGTTTGTTAGGCCTTGTCTACACTACCACTTTACATTGCTGCAACTTTCACACTCAGGGGTGTGAAAAAACACCCGCCCCCAACCGCTGCAAGTTTCAGCGCTGTAAAGTGGCAGTGTAGACAGTGCACCAGCGCTAGGAGCCGTGCTCCCAGCACTGGTAGCTACTCCCCTTGTGGAGGTGGGTTTTTTTACAGCGCTGGGAGAACTTTCTCCCAGCGCTGCTGCTGCGACTACACAGCCACATTAAAGCACTGACTTCAGTGCAGTATACAACTGTAATTAATACTTAAGGTGAGAGCAGTGGATCTCAAACCAATATATACACTGTATTTCTGAAGCTTGTTCAGGTGTAGAATGCTTCAAGGAATGTGGAGATTTCATGGGATAAGATGGGAGGTGATCCGTTAAAGGATTGGAAGTGGTCAACAAAAGACTGAAAAAGTTAGACCTGATGCATTCGTCATCTGTTTTGGATTGTCCTAGCAGGGACCATCCTATAGGATCAGGTAGGCATATCAAACACTATTAATTTCCTGTGATTATGGGGTGGGTATAGAGGGGACCTTGAGCACTAGTAGAGTTTGGTCTTTGCAGTCTTATTTTAGTGTAAGCCTAACTGAGAGCCCACATTAATTTACATTCAGGAATCTTTTTCCTCTATATATTGTGTCATATTTGATATCCTCTTCCCTAATAAAGAAAATTAGTATTAAAAAGAGTAACTTAAAAAGTGGAAGATGCAGTGATCACAATACCTTCCAAGAAGGATTCTACTTAATTTTCTCTCCTCACACACAACTACACTCAGAGACAAGACACTTGCTACAAAACATCTGGTAACAGAACCTTCCCCATATCAAGAAGACTGACAGACAGCCAAAGAATAAAGAAAGTGACCACAGGTAAGGCATATATCAGGAATTAAAATGCTTTTAATTCTGCTATTAGTACTATTCTGCTGTTAGTACCACTTGAAGTCACAATTCTCAGTGTCCCTTCTGCCCATTTAGTGGCCTCCTCACCAAATGTTTATAATACAAACAGCTGTGAAACACAGAATCACCAAGTCCTTCCCTCTGTTTCAGTAATCCAGTGTTACCATAAAAATGCCTACAGTGGATCCAGAGTCCCTCTCCTGAGATCAAATATACTGATAATGTAAATTCAACACATGTGAATTTGTGTGTTCAGTGCACCATGAAGCTGGTTGGGAAGGAGAAATATACCTTGTGATATTCCTTGCTTTCTGTATTTCTTCTACTGCAGGAGGCAGTGGGGGAGGATAAGGTACATCTTTATTATACTGGGAAATCTGTCCACATAGGATGATATGGCTGTTCTGATTCATCTGTTTGAGACAACACAAAATGAGAAATACTACTTTCTTTGCCCTCAAAAAGACACAAGCCTATTAGAAGTTAATTAGACTATATATGGTAACCATGCAACAAGTATATTGCTCAAAGTCATTTTCCTTAGAAGAAGAGATTGGGAGGATAATTGTATACATGTGGTCATTCAGCTTGTAACGACATAGCAGATGGTTTAAAAACAGTGCAGTAGTGGGGAGGATAAGACCACTGTACATGTACAATTCAACAAGGTGTTAACTGGGTAACAAATATGAGGGATTGTTACTTTACTGAGTGAGGATGTTTACTGTAGAAGGAGAAACAGTGCAAATACTCAGCTGTGTAATGAAAAATAAAAACCATTCCATGTATCTGTTTTGCAGTCTTACACAATTAATAAATGTGAGTTTTCTATTCTATTCTTTTAATTTGTGAAATAGGAGTAAGACAGACTGTGTCAATGTAGTCTCTCACTCATGAAAATATGAGTCCCCTCAACCACTTATATATGTGAAGTGCAGTACATTACACTCCCTTGCCACATTCCAAGTTTTAAACTAAAAACGAAAAAGGCACTTTCCTGCTCTCTACTCCAGCAGTAGAATAGCCTCAACAAAAAATGGGAGATCTTTGACTCCTGTTGCTGGCCCACCAAGTCCCAGAGGGTACCTGCTCTCAAGGGCTGACAGGAGTCACAGATTCCTGGAAATGCATAATATGCAGTACAGGAACAATGGGTATCAGGAGTGATTTAACAACTGTAATTAACTCTCCCCAACTATTTCCTTGATTGACCCTGGCAGCATTCAGATTGCCCAAATACTCTGAAAGTATTCTTCTAGTAAATACTACTACTAGTAAAGCTTGAGTAAGAATGATAATCCATTTCCCCCCTTCCCAGGAACTCCAAGTGATGTTTTCAGGAGGTGGGAAAACAATAACCAATTACTCAAACGGAGTAAACCTCATTCAGCTGATGATCTGGATTATCATGATAAGGGTTTTCCTGAGAGAAGAGTTTCATTGACTGTCTCACTAAGGTCTTGACAAATGTCCCTATTTTCTCCCCTTCCCACCTCCAACTCTGGTGATACTACCAGAGAGGATTGGTTAGGACCCTCGCTAGAGCCCAGCAATGTTACTCCTTAACCAGCTAGAGATTATCAAAGTTGAAAAACAACAGTAATTGCTCTCTCAGACAGGCACCGTTGCTAAGGTACTCCCTTGTCCCTGCTGGTTAGGGGAGTAAGACACCAGAAGTAGAAATTAAACTCAGGACTCCTGCATCACAATGCAAAATGGCTACTGCGAGGCCATCAGGCCAGTCCAGCATGATAGGCTTATGTCTCTGATGTTTGGACAGTTTGACTCAATCACATTCAGTATGTCAGGTACATGTGGGAAGGGAAGGTTTTCCTATCTTTCAGCAATTAATGCAGGCTGGTTTATATTACACTCATTCCAAAAGATGCATGAAGAATTTGGGAGGCGGCGGGGGTATAAACAGGACAGCTGGTATAGGCACCTGATTTATAACTGCATCACTGATGTCTCCACCAACATTATCAAAGTAAACATCCACGCCAGCTGGGCAGAGTTCATGCAGCTGCTCTGCCACATTCCCCTTTTTGTAATTGATAGCCGCATCAAACCCCATTTCTGAGACCAAAATGGAGCACTTCTCATCTGTACCACAGATTCCTACCACTCTCGAGCAGCCCTCTAGGCGGCCAATCTGCAAAAACACCATAAACAAAACAGTGAGGCCATCAATTTGCCCACATTTCAGTACCCTGTAATCACTAGAATTTTAAGCAGCAGAATTACAGACACCAGTACTTTAGGGGCTGAATACAATTTAAGACTGCCAAATATCAAGCACCATTTCCCCTCCAGTAATTGGGTCTCCAGTAAAAAGACTGGAAAATCAAGATGTAAATATACTCTGATTTTATGTATTTGTTCAAATGCTGTGGTGTAACAGTTCGTGTTTGAATTGGACTTGTTTTAAGTTTACTTGTTGGATGCTGTGTATATACCTTACTCTGGAAAGCTTGGGAGGATAAATAATATTACTACCTTTTTAGAGAACTGTATACCAATAAAATATAAAAAATGGATAGGAAAGGATAGGATAGGTCCATCAACGGCTGTTAACCAGGATGGTCAGGGACACAACTCCATGCTCTTGATGTCCCTAAGCCTCTGATTGCCATGCTCTCGGTGTCCCTAAGCCTCTGGACAACAGGGGACGACGGATCATTCAATAATTGCCCTGTTCTGTTCATTCTCTCTGAAGCATCTGGCTTCAGCCACTGTCAAAAGACAGGATACCGGACTAGATGGACCATTGATCTGACCCAGTTTGGCCATTCTTATGTAATGTTATCCAAAGCAACACATGAAAGTATTTACTATGCTTTTCACTGGCCATATCATCCTAATGCAGGGGTAAACACATCCATACTCCAGTAGCCTTGCACACAACATTTGGTAAGAATGTACCTTATCATAACGTTCCAAAGTCCATAAGATGGACAATAAACAATATATTTGTATTAACTAAAACAGGTAGGCAATTAGAAGTTGGGGGCAGACTACTATGCAGTAAATCAGTTTGTTTACTTTCAAGCCAGTGACAAAATAATCATCACATTCAACTTTTCCCCTCCCAGTTTCAAGAATCTGAAGTTCTACACCTAAATACATTCAGCATAAATACCACCCCCCCCCATTGACTGTGAGTCAAATTTACAGATGAAATAAGCAAGTGGGTGTAACTCCAGTGAAATCAGTGAAGTTACAAGAATGCACATCTCACAAGACAGAACTTAGAAGTAATAGCTCATTCTCTTGCAAATCTTAAACCTGTTTACCTGACCAGCCAGAGAACCACAGGCACCAGCAGCCCCACTGACAACCATTGTCTGATTGGCACCTAAAGACACATGTCCCTTCTCTTTTATTCCTAGAAAGGACGTCAGCCCAGTAATGCCAGCTGCACCAAGAAAGTAGGAGAGGTGTCCATCAACAAGTTGTGGATCAAGCTACACAAGAAAAAAAAAATTTTAAGTGACATTTTGGATTATTATTATTTGTTGACTGCAGATTTTAGGATGACCACATTTTAAATAAACACAAGTACAAAATAACCCAGGCTGTTTAGTTCAGACAAAGTACAAACCAGTATTCAGAAGCCTCCTGTGCACTAGCTGTCAGACCTACTATAATACTTCAATAACAAGGTAACAAAAAAGGGGAACATAAATAGGATTTTTTTTCCAAAATGCTTTTAACAAAAAGTCACTCACAAGAAACGTAACGATTTTTAGCAAATTAGATGGTAAGATGTAAAATTATGCCATGGTCAAATACCAGTTCGGAGACAGAAAATAGTTAACGATGTTGAACTACACCCATGATGGTCTGAAGGATGCTACAGCAGGGTTGCCATATCCTGGTGCTGAGTTAATGACACAAATAGTCCTAAAACAAATGGTTCCCGAAAGCCAAGTTCCACCTCAAGTTGCAGAAGTTTTCTATTGTGAAAATGCAATATATTAAATACTGTATGTGCAGAGGGGTCAAGTTATAGCCATTACAGAACTGTGACTTTGAATAGCCTTACCTTTGTGGGTGTGCTTGAGATTTTACAAGGTTTCACTAATGTATGCTTTTTGCATTTAATACAAAATGTGTTAGAATCATAGAATATTAGGGTTGGAAGAGACCTCAGGTGGGCATCTAGTCCAATCCCCTGCTCAAAGCAGGACCAACACCAATTAAATTAAGAACATAGTAGTAAGATATATTGGTGATCAGGTGTCAAAAGTTCTACCTGGAGTTTGCATGATTAATGGACAACCTTAACAGCAGCATCAGAAAAGATGCTGATGAATTTATCATTGGATTGTTTAGTGGCAGGAAAAGGAATTCTAATTGCTTCTTACAAGGAAAAGAGAAATTAATGTAGACTTTGCCAAACATAATTGGATCTGCTTTGTAGTAACTGGTTGCTTTATTAGCACTGCTTTGTTCTTGACATCTCTCTAAAATAAAAGAATCAATTGTCACATGCAAACAAAAGATTTTTTTTTAAATGGAGAAAAATAGTGTACACACTAACTTAATTTTCTATAGTTCAGTATGTTACCTTTTGGAGGAGTCTTCCATCTAGAATGACCTTTGTCTGCCAGGGCCAGTTGAAAGAAGTTACAATATCTCCTTTAGCAAAGTTAGTATGTTTGCTCTCCTCCACAACCCCGATGCCCCCACCATCAGCCACCTCAGACAACTGCCAGGGCAAGAGGTAATCAGAACCTGTGTCTTCATTCATGCGGCAGCGCTAAAAGACAAGGCTCTAATGAGGAGATTCTTGCATGATGATGTACATGAGTTTTCTTTACATGTTCAGTAACTTGGGGTGGAATGCATTTAACAACAAAGCACAAAGGGCTACTCCAAAAATCTTTCAATAAGAACTTCACTTTCACCTTCTTTTCTTAATTCTTTATTTCTCCTTTCATTCATTCACATAGATACAAAGGGAGGACATTTTATTTTCCACAATAGTGTCACCACAAACACACACGCTGAAGCACCATACCACACAGAAACTTCTAGCCAAGATTCTCTTCAAACCCAATCAACAGTACTTAATCAGATGAAGAGAACTTTATACAGAAACATGGGGTACTCCTCCACTAGAAGGGGCCAAGAATACTGCTCTTGCATAATCATAGCTCCTGCCAGCCCAGGGAATAAGAGCCCAGGATCAATAATCAAAGCTGGCTCTTGTGTGTAGGGTTACCAATTTTGGTTGGGCATATTCCTGGAGGTTTTATCGCAAGACAGTCTTTAATTGAAGACTCCAGGAGAATACTGGAGGGTTGGCAACCCTATTCTCATGTAACCATGCAAATCATTATTAGTAGGCTACCAACCCAGACCCCAGGATGGTTGGTTTAAGATATTATGGGTTTAATATGAAATGTCATGGTTATGTTTTGAATATGATTTCCTATTTCTTCCTTCTGTGAAAACATCTGGGCCACTTGAGTTAAGCTGCCCTATTGGACCCTAAATTTTTTTTTTTTTCATTAGAAATCGAGCATTGAAAGTGGATGTTGAATCATAAATTGTTGCTGGAAAGGTAGCTGGGCTCTTGGGGGACAGGAATGCCATCTTTCACACCTCTCTCCCATCTCTCCTTCCTCCACATCATTCCTGATCTGCCTCTTCTGGGTGGGTGTTGGTGCTGCTGCTACCTCCTTTAATGGCACAGATGTGGGATTGACCTTCAGGTTGCTGTCATTGGCCTCTTGCTGTCTCACAACCTAGGCCAAGAGTGCAGGCTGGAGTGAATCCTGAAACCCAGATAGTTGTGCTAGATTCTGTGGTGGGCTGGCAGTACTAACTCTGCTGGATTTTCTATTAGAATTTCTGCCAAATTAAGGGCAGACTATTCTGTAGAGCTGCTGCTGCTACTCGGTTTCAGAGCAAAACTGTGGTGCCTAAAGTCCATGGCTGTGGGCCTTCTATGATTAGGGGAATCTAGAAATGTCAGGGTTGTCTCATTTTTCCTTTATATTCTGAAAAAAAGAGTATGTCTAGTATCCTTTTCTTCATGAAGGTTGAACATTTTATTTTACAGGCCCATGCAAAAATTGCTAAGGGTGGCTCTGTCTAGTTCCACCCCCAAATCCAAAGCGCTCCCAGCTATATATTGTTCACATGGAAGGGCTTTTGCAGGTATTGGTAGAAGGGTGAGGGAGCATTAGACAGCCTCACTGGCCTCTCCACATGCTGTGTTTGTTTTTTCTTTGCTCCCTCCTACACCATCCAGAGCAGAGGAGCACCTGGCCCCACATATGTAAGTAAAAACTGGATAACTAAATAGAATTTAAGTGTACTAATTTTGTGCTTGGAAATAAGGTCCAGATCTTCAAAGGTATTTAGGCACTGTTTTCCCATGGAGTTCAGCACCTAAATACCTCTGAGGGTCTGGGCCTCAGTGACTACTTTTTAGGAGTATCAGGGAATTTTGATTTTTGCCTCTGCCCCACCCCATGACTATATATAACCCCATTCTTATATATAAAAACCTATATAAGCCACAGGCACATTAATGCCAAATTCCCCCCAACATAACTCCACAGAAGTGAATGGAGTTATATCAGGGATAAGTTTGGCTCATAGTTTGTGTAGTTCACACTAAACATCCTGGTTGGCATGGAGGTAAAATCATTTTTAGAAAATCTCCTGACATTGCCTCAATTCTTTCACTTACCATGTAAGGGTCCACAGAGAGGTAGAGGGTTCGAGTTTGTACCTGTCCATCTGTGATTTTCTCTGGTAGGGGGGCTGCTTCTATTCGGAAGTTTTCTGCCACTGGCACACCATTTTTACCTAGAATTATTTTAAAGTGAAGCAAAAAAAACAACCTCCAAACAAATCAGTAATAAAACCTTTGCTCTAACTTTCTTTTTAAAAAATTGAGGCCTTTTATTTAAATGTTCTGCTTCCTTTTTTAGTAAATAATTTAACTTTTTAAGTGGACTAAAATTCACAAAATTCCAGTTTGACATAGTATTCTTACATGGTATGTCTTGATTATTTATTTCTCTGAAACAAAAGAAATAAAAGGAGTTTTACGAATCCCGGGAAATATTTCCAAGGGTCTTTTCAGCAAGGGAGAAACTGACTTACAGCTTCATCTTGCAGGGTGGTGAGAACCCTAACCCTGATCCATGCATGCACTTAACTTCACAGTTGGAAGACAGGACACTGGGATAGATGAACCATTGCTCTGACACAAAACAGCACTTCTTATGTTCGAGTACCCATGCATTAGTGTTTGCAGGATCACGGCCATAGTTTTTTTGGACTGAACACGTAGCTTTGCATTTTCTCATATTAGCATTCAAAAAGGCTAACAAGAATACTTTTTAAAATGTAGCATATAACTTTGCACAGAAGGTACATTTAACAAATTGGGGCTAAAAAATTAACCTCCTTAATAAATGAATTATTCGTAGTCATTTTATTCTTAGATCAATTTTCCAAATTAGTCTAAGTTTCCATAGGAAGCAAAACAAAAAGAATATGTCTTAAGGTTTTTTTTGTTGCAAAGACAGTCTTGATAACCTAAATCAGTTTGCCTTGCAGAATGGTCTTCAGCCACCCACAAACTGCAGAAAAGGTAAATTCACCGTTTTCCCCAACCCCATTCACTCAAGTGGGATGTGAACATCAATGCGTGCAGAGGACAATTTCAATGCTCTTAAGTAAGGACAGCTGGATTTGAGACGCTTTAAAAATGCTGGTCCCAGTTCTGCTCTCATACTAGCTTTACACCAATATAACTCACTTATGGCAACGGAATTTTTCCTGATTTGCACTGGTGTAAGTGAGAAAGGAATCAGATCCATGGTGCCTAATCTTGCTCTAAATTACACACATGCAATACTACTGAATTGCACCTGTGTAACGGGAGAATTATGCTGTTTTTATACTTTTCATTCTGAAATTAGGAAGTGTCAACCGTAATTGAGAAAAATTAAAAACCAAAAACCAATACCCAAACACACTTACTAATTTTATTCATTTAACATAGTTTATTAAAAGACACATGAAATTATAATTGATAGGTATACATATAATTTGGGACAGAAAATGTATTCATGCTAATATTTTTTACACATAATGATAAGTTCACTTTACTGCATCACAGTCTGGACAGTCAGGTTAGGAACTCAACACCACTCCTAAATTCTGAACAGTCCCAGAGCTATAAAGTTTTATCAGGGCAGGTAAGAAAAATGTGGCAGAGATCAAATCCAAACTTGGCTCATATAAATTGAGTTGTTCTTATTTTCCAAAGACAATGACATACTTGCGTAGCGACAAAATTCTGATTAGCCCCTCACACAGAGGTGGCATTGGACCAGTTTCTCTGGTCTGGTACAGCCTCTCTGTGCCATTTCCAGAAACCTGGTGGGTCTGGCCAGATGGACTCTATACCACTTCCTTTTGTGGCCTCCCTTGACACAGAAGTCTTGCCAGAGAAAAGACAGTGTGGCCAGAGTGCCAGTATGCTTTAGATATTCCTCACTGCCACAACAGCCCTTTGGGGCCATAAGCAACTATGCTTAACTTAGAAAAGTCCAGATGCTGTGGTAATTCCCAGGATTAGAGAGCTTCTCTCCAGGGTCTGTGCTAAGTGCCCCGCAGCCAGACCTAAGAACTGGGGCCATTTCTGGCGTTAACTGAACAAATTTAGGTCATTGATTGATCCTTCACTCACTTCAGAGAAACACTTATCTACAGGAGATACCACTGTCGTTTTTACCTGCAAAAACTATTTCCAAACTGAGAAATATCCAAAAATGTCAACATTTTTACTGGTTCTGCAGCAGCAAACTAATAAACACTATTCCAAGAGTTGTTCTGACATCTACAGTGATGCAAGTGCATAAGCAAAGAAGTAAACAACAAACAACAACAAAAGCCATGTAAATTTCAAGCTCTTTAGAAACATGGGAGGAAGCAGAGATTCAAAATTTGCCAAAAGAAAAGGACAAAAGTCAGCAGAGAAGCATATTATTTTCAATCATCTCAATTACAAATAGCAGAGTAAAATGAGAACAAATTTTAAAGCTAAAAAACAGTAAATGATAGCGTGCCTTTGGCTATTGCCACTGAGTCACTAATGTTACACCTAACTCTATAATACATATAGACTGTGTTTTTTCTTGCCTAAAAGTTTGAAGACTGCATATACAGGCTCAATAACTACACTTCTATCATAAACCTCTTTTTCTATTGCACATTACTTTCTGTCAATATCTCATGTTACTTTCCTCCATTTCCCTCCCCATTTAGGAGTATTACACAATTATACAAAATACACTGATCTTTTGTTAGAAATAAATACATACCAGGACGTGAGTTCAACACCACTCTTTGTATAATCATTACCACTTTGGCAAGAATTCCACGCTGTATGTCAGTAACCCTGTAAAGCAAAAGCTGTTTGAAATGCATGTCAAATTTATACAATTTTCTTACTGAGAAACATTTTGGGGGTGAAGTATTCAGTAATTTGAAACTCAGAGAAAAACAATTTAAATTCCACATGTGGGTCCAATGGAGAGCAAAACATTCAAGTGGTCTCATAGACAGTGGCTGCGGTTGAAGTCACAACTGACTACAGATAGCTGCATATCTTTTGCTTCTTGAGGTGGGAGAAGCCTGCCATCCTTCACTTTTGCTCTGCAACTATTCTGTTAGCAAGGATAATGATGGGAAACTGATTAAGGAATACAGAGTGTGAAAGAAGCAGGAAAAGAGCTAAATGAGAAAAATTTACCCAGAATGATTAACTTATTTTTAAAATGACTGACTTCAGTAGGGTAATGATTTCACTCCCAGTTCCTTTAAACTTATAAATGAAGCCCATGCTTAACTGTCTCTGCTGACAGGTATACCAGATATGTTAGAAAAAACTCTCTCTTTCAGCATAGCTGGTTTTTCTTGACATGAACTGGCATTCCATAGAAAACTATTGTTAAATTGAATTCAAATTTCAGCAGCAAAGGGAGTAAAAAAAGATTAGCTATGAAGGTCTGGCCCCATTTAAGTTAATTTTGTCATCTACTTTGATAGAGCCAAGATTTCACCCCGTAGCCCAATGACATCTTCTGGAAAGGCTTTAGGAGACAACTAAAGGTCTCAGTCCTGAAAACACACATGCAATTTTACATACGTGTATCATCCCACTCAACTCAATGTCAGGTAGTTTGGACCCAAAAATTAGCGTTTGGAAATAAGTTTTATAAAATATATATTATCTGTAAAAACTGAAAAAGGTTTTGTTTATATTTAAATATTCCTCTGCAGTGATTGCAACACAAATCCAAACACCACTGTAATAGTATGTGAAATCAGGAAGTAAAACAGCCTCGTCTGCTTTACTTTTTACCCTTCACTCATTCAGTTTGGACAATTAAACAGCAGTAAAAGTGAAAAACAAATTAGATTTATTTAAAAAATCCAAAAACCACAAACCCTTTTTAATATCTCATATTAATTACAGATTTCAGAGTAGCAGCCGTGTTAGTCTGTATCCGCAAAAAGAAAAGGAGTACTTGTGGCACCTTAGAGACTAACAAATTTATTTGAGCATAAGCTTTCATGAGCTACAGCTCGCTTCATCAGATGCATGCACTGGAAAATACAGTGGGGAGATTTTATATACACAGAGAACATGAAACAATGGGTGTTACCATACACACTATAACGAGAGTGTTCAGGTAAGGTAAGCTATTACCAGCAGGAGAGAAAAAAAAAAACACAACCTTTTGTAGTGATAATCAAGGTGGGCCATTTCCAGCAGTTGACAAGAATGTGTGAGAAATGGGGGGGGAGGGGGGAGAATAAACATGGGGAAGTAGTTTTACTTTGTGTAATGACACATCCACTCCCAGTCTTTATTCAAGCCTAAGTTAATGGTGTCCAGTTTGCAAATTAATTCCAATTCAGCAGTCTCTCCTTGGAGTCTGTTTTTGAAGTTTTTTTGTTGAAGAATTGCCACTTTTAGGTCTATAATCGAGTGACCAGAGAGATTGACTGGTTTTTGAATGTTATAGTTCTTGACATCTGATTTGTGTCCATTTATTCTTTTACATAGAGACTGTCCAGTTTGGCCAATGTACATAACTCCTTTTCATATTAATTAATGTCCCTATTAAAAAAATGAAAAACACTGAGGTACCTAATCTAATTTCAGTATGGATTTATATCCATGTTAAGGGAGGGTAAACATACACCCCAACATACAAACATATAGCTAAATATAGAGAAATAAGATTAGACAGCTCATTACATTGAACAACCTAAGGTGAAGGGATGTATGTAGGTCTCACACAGTCAAGTAAAAGGTAGACATGCCAGTGACATCAATAAATAAATAAATTACATTGCACTAAAGACTGCCATTTAAGATATGTTTTTCAATATGAGGTAAGAGACAGCAATATAAGGCAACTCAAGTATTGCTCTCCATGAAGAGGAGAGAAGAAATATCAGGTCTTTGCTTCAGCAGCACATTTTTCTTCTGAGAAGGGTCAAGGGCAGGGGTGAAAGTAAAGGGGTACAGGTCGGTATGGCATACCGGTAAAAGGCAGCCGCCAGTACGAGCCCCTACCACTGACTTTAAAGTCACTGCCCCTTTTGCGCCCCCTCGCCCCCCATCGGCAGCCCTGCCGGGTCCCTACCAGCAGGGCCGCCAATGGGGAGGCACAAAAGGGGCAGTGATGACCCAGCAGGGCTGCCAATGGAGGTTGCAGAAGGGGCAGTGATGGCAGCACTTAACATCACTGTTCTTTTTGCCCCCGGCTGCTGATGGTGGGGGAGGAGGAAAGTAGCAGCTGCCCTGGGGCCACAATTTTAAAGGGCCTGGAGCTCCAGCCGCTGCTGCTGCTACTGTGGCAGCACCGGCTGGAGCCCTGGGCCCTTTAAATCACTGCTGGAACCCCCGGTGGTACGGGCCAGGGAGTGCAGATGGGAAACACTGACCCCCAAGCCCCGCCCCTTCCACCCAAGGCCCTGCCCCTTCTGGGCAGGCAAGAGCGGCCCCATACCAGTAAGAGCTGGATTTTATTTTCACCCCTGGTCAAGGGTGAGGAAGAATTTTACACCACTAGAACTGTTTTCCTGGGAGGTTTCCCCTTGCATTTCAATGGGGGAATGAAATAGAGGACTGGACATTTGTGTCCAGCACTGACTGAGTCTTTGCTACTGAAAATGCCATGGTGATCGATGTGATATAAACCTAATTAATAAAGAGAAAATTACAATCTCATGGGCTTCCAGGATTAAGAATAAAATAAAAATGTTCCTCTTACTAACATCTAGATTACATACTTCTTGCTCAGCTATGCTCCATAAACATTAACCTCCATTAACATCAAGGACATTAAAAAATAAAACATGATAGCTGATATCTGTCACAATGTTTATTTTGTTGATGAGAACAACTAATCAGATTTAGTGATCATTTTTTCTTTCTGGACTCATCTGTTTAGTTTGGAGTGCTTGTTCAAGACTTTATTCTTGAATGTTAGAAAATACAAAAAGTAAAATAAGCGTGTGTGTGTTTTATATATAAATAAATGGGGGGGATTGAGCATAACAAGAATATGCACATCTCCTCTCCTAAATGGGGTAGGAATGAACATATGCAGGTCCCTCTCCCTTTCTCAAAAAGAAAAAAACCAAATGCATGGCCTCCCATCTATATTTGATATATGCATGGGGTGTAATATTTGTGTTTATTTGCCATTATATTTTCAAATGCTGTTTATGAGAATAAAATTACATGAGATCTGGTTTTCTTCTGATATTTCAGTTCCCAAGTGGTGCAAAACTATGAAATGTGGAATTCTTAAACACCAGCTTAGTGAGCTTGCTGTTATGGGCCCTCCGTAGAGTCTCTCCTCTTCAAGTCTGATCCATCCACTAAAGCCAGTCACCACTGATCCATCCACTAAAGCCAGTTGGCTGCTCTGAAGGTGAAGAAGGAGGTGGCTGATTTGCCACCGCAAATGTTACAGATTATTTTAAATGTTTGTATATTGATTTATCAGCCGCTGGTATTATACCCAACTCATATCTATGAATAATTACACTATATATGGTAGCCCACACAGCTCTCCACAACAAAACCAAGTTACCACAGTATGGTTAACAACACATAAAAACTTTGTAACTTTTGTTATGGCTGCAAGTTTACCAAATAATGTTACAGTTAAAATCTAAACATTTAAAAGTACAGAGATTAACATTTAAGAGAAGGTTCATAAATATTCAAATATCCATAGAGTTTCTTAACTAAACATACAGATGTAAACTATGAAGAACAGTAGCCCAGTGGCAAGGGTACTAGCCTAGAACTTGGGAGAGCTCAGTTCAACTCCTACTCTGCCACAGACATGCCTTGATGTGGCCCTCTGTACCATTTAATCCCTAGATAGAATTGGAAAAGGGGTGTCTGCAGACAGAGTAAATGCACAGTTCCCAGGCACCGCAGAATAGTTCACCATCTTACTACTGCATAAACCTTTATGAAGGACTGCAATGGGGGTGAACTAAGGAGGAGTCAAGGGATCCACATTTATGCTGATCCAGTGGCCCAAACATCCCATGCAACTGGTATGAAGAACTGTCACTTTCATAGCCCATAGGCTGAAATAGTAGCCATGGGAGTCTCTGCAGCAGCCCCACTCAACAGCTCTGGGTTTTGGGTATAAGGAATGGATTTCACCTCCAAAAATCTCTCCACACTCCACCCACTTAAAGCTTAAATTCCCAGGTTTTATGTAGGTGTAATGGATTTCACCCACAGACATGTAGTTATTTTAATATGGGCCTGAGAGAGAAATTATGTTTGTGTGTGCATATTTTTGACAATCTTTGTAATTCTGAAGTCAATACGCAATTGTATTATGAGAATGGAAAGAGTATTAACAGGGGCCAATTAGTAATTCTTAAATATATATGTATTTCTACCCTCCCCAACACCTGCTCTGTATTGTGGCACGCAGTAAGTGCAGACCTCAAAATACTCAGCTCCATCTGGAAATTCCAGTGTGTTAGTGAGTGTTGAAGTTATTTAAACATATTCTTACCACCTTAGCACCAACGCATTTTTTAAAATCACTGATTAACAAACAAAAATATTAAAATACAGGAAAACAGCACATTTGCAGGAGTGCACAGGAAGATGAGAGAGAGAGAGAGAGAGAGGAGAGGGGCATCTAAGGAGCAAAATTTTAGATTACTTATTTGAAGGTCTGAAGTTCTTGGGGGACAGGAATACCGTTAATATCCGAGTTCAGCTTACTGATCTGTGGTTGATAAACTTGTACAGCAATGCCATTTGGAGACCTTCTCTGATATAGTGAGTGGGTGGTGAGAGAGTAAGGGGGAAGATGGTGATTGAAGTGTCACTGTATG